GAGAGAGTAGGGGGTTAATAGAGAGCAGGGTTAATACGGGGAGAGAAAAGTGGAAAAGAACACAGAAAACCAGAGAGGGATCAGGAGTGAAAAGGGGACTTAAGACAGGAGGGGACCGCTGTGTACCCCAAGAGAGAGGAGAGGCTTCTTCAGAAAGGCAGGGGGAGAGAGAGAGATGGGAAATCAGCAGAATCAGAAGATCAGCAAGCATAAACCGAAGCAGGGGATATCAGACTGAAAGTGTACATTTCCCTGTCTAGTCGCTAATAATGGTCAATGAACAAAACCACTTTTATTAGGGGCTCATCAGTATCGCAGGTCTTTGACCAGTGAACAGAGGATTGTGGGGGGGTGGGGACAAACTGTCCAGCCCTGTTGTTGAAGCCGATACCCTGGCTTCTCTCCAGACACAGCTGGACGAGCGCCTGGGATCAATAAACTAATAAAAATCCAGACGCGCCAGATGGTCTGAATGGATCCCCTCTCTTGTGACCTTTTTTAATGTTCTTATAAGTATCCCATAATTCAGTGCGGCTTCTGCTCTTCTGCTCAGCAGAGCCCTGAACCAGCTCCATCTTGAGCGAGGCGCGCTGCCCGAAGATGAGCCGCTGTCTGTGGCCGCCAGCGCCGGCCGAACGCATGAGAACAGGGCAGGGTTCGAGTCTCGTCGGTCTCACGCATCCCACAGTCCACCGCGGAGAGTCCCTACCTTCCCCGCGGGCCGGCGGGGGACGGGCTGGTGGCGGGTCGTGAAGGCAGCGCTGGGCTGGGGGAGAGGAGAGAGGATCCGGCCGGTCACCCGTCTGCTGTCTCACTCTCGCTTTCTCACTCTCGCTGGCTCACTCTCACTGCCTCACCCCCTCGCTCTCGCTGTCTCACCCCCTCGCTCTCTCCTTCTTGCTGTCTCACCATCACCCTCCTGCTCAGTACTGACCATCACTCTCTCTGTACTGGTCATCCCCCCTTCTCCCTCTCTGTACTGACCTCTCCCTTCTCCCTGTACTGACCCCTCCCCTCTCCCTGTACTGACCTCTCCCCTCTCCATGTACTGACCCCTGTCCTCTCCCTGTACTGACCTCTCCCTTCTCCCTGTACTGACCACCCCTTTCCCTGTACTGACCCCTCCCCTCTCCCTGTACTGACCCCTGTCCTCTCCCTGTACTGACCCCTGTCCTCTCCCTGTACTGACCACCCCTGACTATGTGTCTCAGTGGGTGTGGTCTTGGCTTTCTCTGCCCTCTGATTGGATACTCACACGGTGAGGAGCGTGTCTTCTGTCTAGGCTGGGGTTCATGAAGGCGGGGTTGACCTCTGGTTGACCTCTGGTTGAACCGGAGGGTTGAGGCGAAGGGGGAGCAGACCCCATGCTCAAAGGGGTCAGAGGTCGAGCAGGGGAGACCCCTATGTCACCTTGGGGTCGCACATCCACCCTGCCGACCGGGGTGTGAGGCCGTGACCCAAGATGACCTCGAGGAGTGAGAGGGCGCGACCCCAGAGAACGGACAGGAAGGGGAGGGGCTTCCTCAAGTTCCTGGCTGTAGCTGCGACCCCTGACCTCTAGGCTGCCCAGGACTGCAGGAGCTGAAGCCAGTGTGCTTGTGCCCTCTTTTCTACTCCTGCAAGGAGACTGGTGTCGACTGGCAAAGAGAGAGAGAGGGGTTCATACAGACACAGTGACTGGACACTCCAGTACATTAACACTGCACTGAGAGAGAGGGGTTAATACAGACACACTGACTGGACACTCCAGTACAT